ATATTTTGGAAGTGGTAAAGCCGGAGCTCTAAACTAAATCTGTGGAGGGAACTAAAGACTAGGGTGATGACAAGGAGCACTCTCAATCTCCAACACTTGGAGTTTATCACCAAAGATAAACAGATCATGCATTTGGTATCCTTATTGGTAAGATACTTATTGGTAAAACCTTTTTAATTGATTGCCAATATTTGACTAAAAGCTAACTTCAACAGGGAAATGTCACAGTCTTGGTTTTGTTATGTTTTCTTTTAAATATTTCAGTTTTACTTTGCTGCATGTTTTCTAGTTTTAGTCTTTTAATTCTTATTTTGTTGTGTTTTCTGGTTATTCTCAGTTTCCAGGTTTTTATTTGTTGCCCTCTGCTGCCCCCTTGTGTTCTCCTTTTTCCCTTGCTCCTTTCCTTTTTTGCTCTGCTCACACCTGCTCCCAATCTGCTCGTTAGCCCTCTCTTTGTTTCAGTCTTCCATAAATACTCTCTCTGTGCAGTTCTTTAGTGCTGGTTCCTCGTCTAACTTCCTCCAACTCCTTCTCACTGAGTCTTCCTCCTCGTGATTGTTTTCCCCAGATTTCTCCATGTTTTCTTGTTTGTTTGACTTTTTTTCATGTTTTGATTTTTGGATTTTTGGATTCCTGCCTCAGTTCTTTGAAAACACTTCATTAAATCTACAAGAAGCTCACCTCTGTCTCCCTGCCTCTGCATTGGGTCCACAAACCACAACCAAATCCTGACAGGAAACTAATTTTCTATTAGTCTATTATCTTTTAAGGTATTAAGGTATTTTACTATCAGTTTGTAAAGAAAAAACAAAAACAGAAAAGTGTCAGGGATGAATAAAACACTGTGAGTCTGAACCCAAGAACCAGACTGTTAAAGATCCATTGTCCTCTTCCTGAAACCTTGGCTGATTCTCTAAAAAAATGACATACAAAAATAAAAAAAACAATGTAGCTAAGGGTCATAGAAATTGGAGTTAAAGACTGTCATTTGGGAAGTGTTGAATAGCCACGTGATCGATAATAAAACCATTTGAAAGTCACATTAGAAGGTTCAGAAGTATATCAGAGGTTCTGACCTGTTTTTATAAAACACTATATCAGGGGTCGGCAGTTCCATTTCCTTGGTGCCGGTATCCTGCAACTTTTAGATTAATCCTTGATCCAACACACCTGAATCAAATGGCTGATTCAGTCCTCAGTATGCAGTCAGTTCCTCCAGAGTCCTCTCAATCATCTCATTATTTGATTCAGGTCTGTTACACCGAAGGCACATCTAATAGTTGCAGGATAGCAGCCCTTAGGAACAAGAACTGCCCAACCATGCGTTATGTAGAAGCAAAATGATGTGTTGACAGCAGACAGAACTACAGGTGGACACACCACCTAAACTACTAATTTTATTTCGTTGCGCAAATGTTGTTAACCCTGAATCAATCCATTAAAGATTGAAGAACACATTAAAAGCACAGCTGCTGTTCTAGACGTCATTTAGATGTTGGTTTTAAGGATAAATCTTGTTGGTGCGTCATAGTCATGATTTAGTCCAGAAATAGTTATTGAAAATTGGGCTGTGTTAGTTCGGTCCGATTTTGTTCCACTTTTGTCCAAAAAGAGATGTTGAAAAAACTCTGCAAACCCAGTTTTCAACATCTTTTCCATGATATGAAAATTACATATTTTAACCTTTCACTTTTCAACCAAATGTAAATGTTTTTTGGACGTAAATCATGTCGTCTTTTGAATACATTTTTCAGCAGTGGGACTGCTCTAATTGTTCTGGATAGATTCAACCCTAAAGCATTAAGGACTATATCCAGATGTCAAACGGCGCTTTAAGGGTCTTTAAACACTTTAAGCTCTAGAGTATTGAGGGGCTTTAGACTGTAGTGGATGTGATGTGAAGCAGATTCTGGAGATCCCAAAAGCAGCCTTGTTGTCTCAGGTTTGGCAGGAATCACTGAGGTCTCTGCAGCATCTGGTCAGAGAACCACAGTTGGACCTCAAAGAGAAAATGTTTCTATAAACCTGCAAAGAACCAGCAGAGCAGTTCCTTGTCACAGTCTCACTACCTATTCTGGTGTATTGTCTTGGTTTTATACATAAAATGGTGAAATATCTTTTCATCTCTGGCATTTAAGGTGATCTGTTCTTTTTAATCTAAGCCTTTAATATTTTCTGGTGAATTAACCCTCGTTGTCCAAGCAAGTTAACTCAGTTTTCCTGTGGGCAAACAATCAACTTTACTTTGCGATAAATGTGACGTTCAGGCAGAATTGAAGAGCGATAACGTGAAGTGGAGGATTCGGCAAAACGCAGCCACAGTTCTGATCCTGATAAAGCCCTTTGTTTGACTGAAGTGTGAATATTTGCAGTGGAGAGGAAAAAGGCTCAACACACACAGAACACACACACACACACACACACACTTATTCCTGAGATTTGAGTCCGGTTGAGTTTGATATTGAGCTGCTATCTGTATATTTGCTGTAGATATCAAAGGCAGTTTGCTCACGCTCGCTCCTATATAAAACCCTGGAGTTGATGTGTTGGCTCGCCCCCTGGGGTAGAACCGGGCTGTTGGTCTGGCTGCCTGCCACTGTTGCCATGATCAGCATCCGCCTGCTGTTGTCATGGTAATGACCGTTTATTTGCAGGGGGCCATCTCGTCTCCAATATTTCCGGGACACTGATAGCATTAGGAAGTGAAGGTGAGAGCAGGCAGAGGGGAGCTGAGGTAGATGAGTGATCCCTCAGTGGGTCAGCCCCACTCAGACCATTATTACCACTGACTATAACCCAAAACCACCAGCTCACCTATTTAATCAGTCAGATATAAAGATAGTTCTTTTCATGTCATTTTTTAATGTCTTTTCTCTGAACTAAATAAAGTATATATATATGATTCCTTTAAGTATTAATAGCTCTGCAGCTTATTCATATTTCTCACATTTGAAAAACAACCACTGAGGATTTTACAGGGATTTCATGTGACAGACAAACGGAAAATTAAACAATGACTGTTTAGGGGTAAAAAGCTATTTATGGTTGAAAAATGATCCTACGTTCCAGTCATATTGCATTTTAGGAATTGTTTGTGAAAATGAACACATATAGAAGAGATGAACCAGCCATTGTTTTTCAGTTATTTTGTTTTGTTTGGTTGGAAGGTGTGTTTGTTTTCTAGTCCTGTCTCTACATGGAGTGGAAAGGCCTGTTCTTAGTTTGCAGCCTGTAAAATATAATGGCGGACGGTTTATATTATGACCTTTAGGCCTTCAGTGGGCACCCCTCAATTTAATCTACTGTACTTCTTCTCACACCTTCTCATTCAAAGAGTTTTCTTTATTTTCATGACTACGAAAATTGTAGGTTCACACTGAATTTATTAAAACTATTAAATAACGCATGTGGAATTACATACTCCATAACTGAAAATACGTCTTATATTCTAGGTTCTTCAAAATAGCCACCTTTTGCTTTGATTACTGCTTTGGACACTCTTGGTATTCTCTTGAGTTTCAAGAGGTAGTCACCTGAAATGGTTTTCATTTCCCAGGTGTCCCCTGTCATTGTTAAATAAGTCAGATTTATTGCCTTATGAATGGGGTTGGAACTATTAGTTGTGTTGTGCAGAAGTCAGGTGGATACACAGCTGATAGTCCTACTGAATAGACTGTTATGGCAAGAAAAAAGCAGCTACGAAAAGAAAAACGAGTGGCCATCATTACTTTAAGAAATGAAGGTCAGTCAGTCCAACAAAATTGGCAAAACTTTGAAAGTCTCCCCAAGTGCAGTCGCAAAAACCATCAAACACTACAAAGAAACTGGCTCCCATGAGGACCGCGCCCCAGGAAAGGAAGACCAAGAGTCACCTCTGCTGTTAATCTGAGTCACCAGCCTCAGATTTTGCAGGTTAACAGCAGCTAAGATTAGAGAGCAGGTCAATGCCACAGAGTTCTAGCAGCAGACACATCTCTAAAACAACTGTTAAGAGGAGACTGTGTAAATCAGGCTTTAATTGTAAAATAGCTGCTAGGAAACCACTGCTAAGGACAGGCAAACAAGCAGAAGAGACTTGCTTGGGCTAAAGAACACAAGGAATGGACATTAGACCAGTGGAAATCTGTGCTTTGGTCTGATGAGTCCAAATTTGAGGTATAACCATCGTATCTTTAAGAGACGCAGAAAAGGTGAAAGGATGGACTCTACATGCCTGGTTTCCACCATGAAACATGGAGGAGGAAGTGTGATGGTGTGGGGGTGCTTTGCTAGTAACACTGCTGGGGATTTATTCAAAATTAAAGCATACTGAACCAGCATGGCTACCACAGGATCTTGCATGCAATTCCATCCGCTTTGTGTTGAGTTGGACCATCATTTATTTTTCAATAAAATCAACAGGTAATTACCTTGTCTTTTTCTATTTGTTTGAGGTAGTCAAAGAAAATATCTTTCTGAGTTTGGTTTCTTGAATAGTATAATAATTAATGTAATGCATTATTCCAGATGATTCCCCCTCATGTTACCACCCTGAGCATTGATCCACATCCCTGTTATCAGAAATGGTGACTTTGTATTTAAAGTAAGAGATTATGTGATTATTTTAAACATTTCTAACCATGTGATAAAAATAAAAAATGCATCTTTAGCTTTAGAATCTAAAGTGATTTTTTCAATTTTCTGATCAGCTTTTGTTTTTATTTCTGCTCTGGATTGTAAGGCAGGTAGAGATGGAAGGTGTCCACCTGTGCTGTGGGAGGAGGCTGCCTGAATGACCGCCTCCTCCTTTCTCTCCTCTCTCTCCTCCACCTTCCAGCTCATCCTGCCTCCTGTTTGCCGGAGATGAGCCGCGCTCAGTGGCTCTCGCCTCGGATTGAATTTCTGCTCGTTGGTGCTCGGATGCCTCCCCCGGAGGTCAGGTGAAAAGCGCTCCTTCTCTCAGCCAGCCTCCGGTCCTGAGAGCCGCACTTTGCCTGGAAGTTTCCCGCAGCTCCACGCCGCGGCGCACCGGTCCGGAGCGCACCGCCGGCCGGAGGACATGGAGCGGCTGTAGGAGCGGCTGGAGGAGGAGATAAACCTGAAGGAGGGAAGACTTTCACTCCAAACAGGCACCAGGAGGACTTTCAAGGTAACCATCGCGCTTTTGATGTTGTTTTCCACAATAGATAAAAAATGGAACCTTTTATTTGACTTTTGGGTTTCTGTAAATAAACAGTGAGATTCAGAAAGTGGTTCAAACCTGCATCTCTATGTTCTGTGCAGCTAAACAGTAATTGATTCTGTAAAAGTGAAAAACGATGAACATGGAAATGAAACCAAGAGTTTGAGCTGCAGAGTAAAGCTGAATAAGCGTTTTCCTGCCCTCCATCTGTGGATGGGAGTCAAGCAGGTGGAACTGATTATTAATTGTTGCACTTTGTCCTGCAGCTGATTCTGGACCAAAACCAAATAAATATACCACTCCGCCCTTTAACAAAGTTTCCTCTTAGATTTAGACAAAACATGACAAAGTTTAGCTCCTATGCTTGGAGTTAATGATTAGACATAATATAAAAATGTGTAGTTGTGACATTTGGGATCCAAACTGTTATTATTTATTTATAATAAGTATTTGAACACCCTGCTATTTTGCAGGTTCTCCCTCTCGAAATCATGGAATGGTCTGAAATGATCATTGTATGTGCAAAATATATGATTTTTTAACAAATTATATGTATGATCCAGCTGCAAATAAGTATTTTATCGCCTCTTTATCAGCCATAATTCTGACCCTCCATGACTTTGTTAGACTGCCTTCAAAATGTCCACCTCCACTCCATTTATTATCCTAAATTAGATGCACCTGTTTGAGTTCGTTAGCTGCATAAACACACCTGTCCACCCCATGCAATTGGTACGAATCCAACTACTAATATGGCCAAGACCAAAGAGCTGTCTAAATAGTAACAAGAAACAACTAAACATGTTAAGGTACGCTGTAAGAAGTATGAAATAAAAAGAAGGGAATTGGTTCAAAATCTTAATAAAGAAAGAATTCACTTTAATTTAACAGAAATCCTTAGAAATTACTCAAAAGATAAGTGTTATGTAATTGTTTTTCATTATCTTAGATTAATCTGTGTAATTGAGAGGATTTTAATCTTATTTTGGTTTTATTGTTTGTTTTTTGTTGATTTTGATTTGTTCAGTATAAGTAGGTAGTAGCCATTCAGATCCACACTCTATACCATTTGGTGGCGGTAATGCACCATTTTGTTGCATGCCAACCGCCAATAAAATCCCAAAGACAATAGAGACAAAATTGTACACCTCCACAAATTTAAATAAGCAACTTGGTGAAAAAAGGTCCACTGTTGGAGCAGTCATTAAAAAATGGAAGAAGCTAAACATGACAGCCACTCTCCCTCAGACTGGGGCGCCATGCAAGATCTCACCCGGTGGGGTCTCAGTGATCCTACGAAAGGTGAGAAATGATCCCAGAACGACACTGGAGGAACTGGTCAATGACCTGAAAAGAGCTGGGACCACAGTTTCCATGGTTACCGTTGGTAATACACCAAGGCGTCATGGTTTGACATCATGCATGGCACGGAAGGTTCCCCTGCTTAAACCCGCACATGTCGAGGCCCGTCTTAAGTTTGCCTATGACCATTTGGATGATCCAGAGGAGTCATGGGAGGAAGTCATGTGGTCAGATGAGAACTTTTTGGTTATAATTCCACTAACTGTGTTCTGAGGAAGAAGAATGATGAGTATCATCTCAAGATCACCATCCCTATACTGTGAAGCAAGGCGGTGTTTTTCTGCACATGGACAGGGTGACTGCACAGTATTAAGGAGAGGCTGACCAGGGCAATGTATTGCTAGATTTTAGGGAACAACCTTCTTTTTTCAGTTAGAGCACTGAAGATGGGCGGAGGCTGGGTTTTCGACATAACAATGACCCGAAGCACACAGCCAGGATAACCAAGGAGTGACTATGGAAGAAGCATATAAAGGTTCTGGTGTGGCCTAGCCAGTCACCAGACCTACACCCAATAGAAAATCTTTGTAGGGAACTCACTCCATGTTTCTCAGAGAGCCCAGAAGCATGAGTGATCTGTGTGGAGGAATGGGCCAAAATCCCTCCTGTAGTGTGTGCAAACCTGGTGAAAAACTACAGGAGACATTTGACCTCTGTAACTGCAAACAAATGCTACTGTACCAAATATTAACATGAATTTTCTCAGGTTTTCAAATACTTATTTGCAGCTGGATCATACAAATAAACAGTAAAAAAAGTTATACGTTGTGATTTCTGGAGTCCCCCCCCCCCTCTGTATGTCTGTCTATCTGGCTGTTTCTCCCTTTCGTATTTGCTGTTTCTGGAAAATTATGTCAGCTGGGGAGAGAGTTTGAAAGAAAGTCTAAAATGGCCATAGTTCAGTTGGTGTTCTTATGTGAACATTTAAAAATATTTTATTGATTTTGACTTAAATATAAATAAAATGAAATGTCTGAAAGAGACATTACTATTTCCTTACAATGTAAAAATAGATGTTGCTGATGATTTGTAACTGTTTGCTCCCAAATAAACTGTTAGCAATTAATTGAATTGCATTTCCAATTTGTTTAAACAATTTTTTCAGTCCATTCCATGATCCATCACATGATAATTCCTGTGGTCTGAGCTTCATGTTTTTACTGTACACAGAGAGGTTTTGTACCAGACCTCATTTCTTTCCCTGATTGTCTCCTGTGGTTTCCCACAAGGCTTAGTTTTAGCCCACATTCTCTTTGCTCTTTCACTTGCACCTGTAAACATGTAGAAAACCTTATTCCACTGTCCTGCTGATGTCATGCAGCTCTAATAGAAAGATGTGTACACTCTTTGTTGCTCAGATGTCTTATTATCATAATGTATCTTTAATTCCATTGAGTGTTTTCAGCGTTTAACCCTCTGAGATATTTGGCCAAAGTCCAGCCTTTCTTTACAACAGTTTCTGTCAATTCCTCATCTTTCTCATTGCTTTGATTAACTTAAGAGTAAAGTGGTCCAGTGCTCAAGTATGAACCATCCTACCTCTAGTTCTCTCCAATCTGTTCAGCTGCTCATCATCATTTCTAAAACAAACAATAAGCTAAGAACAGAAGAAGCTCTTGTGTCCAGAGCTCCTAATATGTTAGACTGTATGCAGCTGTCATTACTCTGCATTTAAATCACTTTAAAAAAAAAACAAAAAAAAAAAACCTTCAGATGTTAATTATATTTAATTCAAGTTTATTACCTCCACCAAGGAGAAAAAATTGTTGTGTTGGTTAGTCTAGTAGAATTCATGGACATATTGCTTTGAAACATTTAACAAAAGTGTGTCTTAACCCGACTTACAGTATAACCCATTAAATTTACTGGAGACCCGGATAACAATCTAGATTGAAGAATTTTTTTAATAATTCCATGAAGGTGTAGAGGACAATCTTTTATTATGGGTGGATCATCTAACATCAGAGACCTGATTGTTCCTAACAAAGCACTTCACTCTCGATCTGCATGTTTCTGTGGTTTCTAGAATTTTTATAAGTAATAAGGGAGACAGATCTTTTACTTACCATGGTCCTTAACTACCAATTTTAGCTTTGAGGCAGACACTCTGCCTACCTCAAAGGCTAGACTTAAAACTTTTTCTTTATAGTAAAAATTGCTCAAGCTATCCTGGGCAATTTGTACAGTTATGCTGTTATAGGCTTAGACTGCTGGAGGACCACTTTTCATCACTCCGCTTCACTCCTATGTCTTCACTCCTGTCTCTATTCTTCAATTCTGCATTATTTCTTAGATCAACCCATACGTGGATGTTTTGCTTTCATCCCTTCTGTAGGAAGATTGACTTCTACTTTGCTGATACCTCTGCTGAACTGTTTCTTTTCTAGGCACATCCACCCATGGAACTACACTGCTCAAAAAGATAAAGGGAACACCCATATAACACATACTAGATCTGAATGAAAGAAATATTGTCATTGAATACTTTGTTTTCTTTTTAAGGTTTCTTTTCTCATCTTTAAATCATTCTTGTGTGCTGGACTTTGGTCCTGTGTGGTATTTTACAGAGCCTCCTAAACAAAACTGGTTTCGCTGTAGAATTAGCTGGGCTTAAAGGTGGCACCACTAGAGCTGTTGTGATGCAGCAACATCCAAAAAACATTTAGGTCAACCAAGTAAGGTCAGAGAACAAAAATGGTCAGAGGACAAAAAATCAGAGACATTGTTGGTATTGGATTGAGTTTGATGCTGTTTGTTTGCATGAACCTCAGTGAGGTGTACAGCGGTTGGACCCAACACACCTACACCTTCCTATACACCCCGCATGCCAGGATGCTGTGTAAACATCCACCATGATGCATAATGAATTATTTATATGCCCACCATCGCCTGCATTTGTACAGAAAAGGTTCAAATTTTTCCAATCATGTTCCAGATGTTTCACTGTTTCACTTTTTTTTTGTTATTTAAAAACAGATTCTCTATTTATAAAATAGGTATTCCATAATTATAGAATTGTATCACAGGAAATATTTATGTGCACACAGTGCAAATCTTTGTGGTTCAGCTCATTTAAGATAGAATTTTGTATGTATGTATGTATGCATATGTAAATATATATGTATGTATATATAAATATATATGTATGTATGTGTATATATAGGTATGTATATATATGTAAATATATATGTATGTATATTAGGGGTGGAACGGTTCACAAAATCCACGGTTCGGTTCGGTTCACGGTATATGTTGATTGTTACCCCGAAATCCCATAAAAATTTATGAAATTAATGAAAAAAATCAAAAAAATTTTATGAATTGTAATTATTTTTAATGATCCGCGGAAACCCTGGATAATTTCCGCATGTTTTTCTGCTTTGAATTTAATAATATGTATATATATATATATATATGATATTGAAAGATTCTTGAAAATTTAATTAAAAGTTCTTGAAAATTAGGTTTAAGTATGAATAGTGCCTTTTTTAGACATAGGAGTCGGAGTCTTTACAAATTTTTCTATTTCTAATCTTTTCACAGGTAGGAACAAACTTTAGGAGTGATCTGAACTTTACCTAGAAGTCTTGTTCAATCAGTCAGCT